TTACAAAATAACTGACTTAGTTTTTTTTTAAAAATTTAGGTAAATAATATACCTATGTTTTATTTAATATATATATATTTATATTTATATTTTTCATAGGTACATTAATTGGATATGTAATTTTTTTTTTTTTTTTTTTTTTTTGTTTTTTGGTTTTTTTTTTTTAATTTGGGGCGGTATGTGAGAGGGAATGACAACCAAAAGAAATGGGGTGATTGATATGCTATTAATAGGGAGTGTTAATTACAATTGTGACAGTTAATGACATGCTTGAAATAAATTATAAATAAATATGAAGTTTGGTGGCAAAAATGTAAAAATATAGGAATACTATGACCTCTTATATCCTGCTGGTCATTTAAATTTGAAATTGGGTTTTACATATAGATTTATAGAGTGATGGGTATATGTCTAAGAAATAGAAAATGTAGGAATCTATATTGGACAAGTCATATTTTATAACATGTGTGTGTTTCTGGTGGGAGAGATGTATTTATCTTCCATGCAAAAGATAAAAACTTGATAAAATTGTTTGTTTAGTGACAGGGCTCTTCTTGAGATTTTGAAGGTCTTGTGCGAACCTTAAACTGGGGCCTCACATAAGCTAACACAAACTTACACCATTACGTAATGCCATACAATAAATATTTTTTTTTCTTAAAGTGACCAAAGTACCCCTACTCCCAAGGGCAAAATTGAAATTTCACAAAAGAATTAAATTGAATTAAATCGATTAAATTGGGTCAGGATGTTACACCTTTTGAATAATCATCATGATTGTGACGATGAGTCTTTGTCATCATAGATCATATTCAGATATTAAATATTTTTTAACACCTAATTTATTTTGTATCAATATTCCAAGAACATCATTAATTGGATGCAATTTTTTTGGGTGAGTTAGTTGGATGCATTATTTTTGCAAAATTGAATATATTAGCATATATAAAAACAATCGGGTACCTTTACTAACCACATTTTTAATCAAGGTGAGCCCTATATATGGAAGTCTTATCTTTATGGGCACTTGAAAAAAAAATATCTACATGAGTAATTGAAGAGCTAGCGTTAAGTCAATGGTAGGGACGTACGCACATGACAAGCAATGTCTACACATAGGAACATAGATATTATTGGGGCAATTAGAATATTCTTGTTGAAGAATATATATATATATATATATATATATATAGTGGCATGCATGCAATTGAGAGATTCAGTGTCATCATTTGAGGAATGAGGTGCTTAGTCGTTGGATTTATTTCAATGAAATCATGTGGTTGAGATTGATTTAAGTGTTTAAACTTGTTTATGTCTAATGACTTGCCAAAAATTCACATGTACATATGCTTTACTGTGTCCACGTGTTATAATATGGATGGGCGATATGGTTAATATTTCCCATTTTTATGATATAATATCAATAAATATCCACTTATATATTCTAACAAACGAGTTGTAACATGTGACATACTCTCATACTAACTCGCACTTAAAGCATCCACAATTGAGTCCCTAAACCACCTCTTTAGACAAATTTTAGGGAGGAATTTAGAAAATACAACTCCAACCATGCTCTCTATTCACCTCATAAAATAAAGAGACCTCTAAAAACTCCTAAATCTGAGGAGAGAGAAAGGACTCCTAGTGGCTCCTTATAATTTAATGTTGTTTCGTTTTATGCATCGTTTAAACTTCTAATTAATACAAATTATTTTTTTATATAGAGATGATAACCAATCATATTGAATTAAAAAATAACTATAGTATTTATGACTTTCTAACTTAGGGAGTATGATTGGAGTTCAAATTTTATAGAGTTCATAAAATAACTTTTGTGTGTTTTTAGCTAAATTTTAACTAAAGAATAGGGAGCATGACCCTTGCCTACATAATTACTGACTAATTCCTTGTGATCGGGTATTTATTATTTCAGTATGTGGTTGTGAAAGTAGCTGGGATATTGAATGTTGGTGTTCACATCGGACAAGCTGCTTTAAACAGGGGTTGCAACATTATGTGATTGACAGATAGCATAGCAGTTTTTATCTTTCAACAAAAACAATCAGTTTCAAAAAAAACAAACCAAAATTTTAATTTGACCCTTATTATCATTATGATGGTTCTGCTGCTAGTTAGGTCACATTTGCATATGACTCTGTTCAAAAAAGAAATTTTACTGGTCATGTATGTAATAAATTTTTATACTACTTTTTGCAATTTGATCTTTTTTATTTTATTTTTGTCATTTGATAGGGAGGGAAATGAGAGAGTATTGTATTAGGTTGCCTCAAGATTGTCTTTTAAGTTAATCAAACTCGGGTGCACTGTGCAAAAATCCTCAAGATTGCCTCAAGATTTTCTTAAAGTTAAAATCATCATCAATTAGCATACAAATTACAAATTAAATCATCTTTCATTATATAACCAATCAACATGATAATGAAGTAAGTCATTAAGCATATATAAATTAAAATTTAGATATATACTTGATTTGAATTCAGATTTAAATATGACTATTTGCTTTTGAGTGACATTTATGACTTTTTTTGGTTGATTTTTTGTGTTGAAATCCTTGAAATTGAAAAAAAAATTATCAAAGGATTAAAAAAGAAAGCCAAAGAGAGATGATTATTACTTACAGAAAATAGCGTGTTTGCCTTTTTTTTATTATTATGATTATTAATTGTTGTTACAAAAACCAAAAAAGAACTAAAACTATGATCTACACAAGTGAGTTTTGAAGTCGAGCCCTGAATAGAAGTTGAGGCCCTGCAAACCAACACAACTAGAAACATCTTTGTGTCAAAAATTTGCTCGCTCAGTATATATATAACATTTGTTAATATATATACATATATTATACATATAAAAAAAAAGTAAATTTAGGTTTTAGCCAAAAAAAAATCACTTTTAGAAAAAGCCAAAGCTTTTTCAAAAAAGACAGAAAAACCTCTCAACTTTCAAATTAAAGATATGCAAATGTAAAGGATTCCTTAGGAAATCCAAAAATAAATAAGGACAATTTTGTCCATTTTGGCTTCTTTTACCAAATTTCTCTCTCCTTTATGTTTTTCCAAAGTCTCCAGGTGCCTTCAAAAATTAGGGCCCTGTGCGATGGCACCACTTGCACACCCTCAGGACCACCCCTGTTTAGTGACCCCACGTCCCTTTAGTCCTCGGGTTTGATTTAACAGGGCGGGTGATGAGACCATGGATATATATATATATATGAAATTTTTTTCATACAAGCAATCTAAATTACTAGGAAATGGAGATTTCAAAGCAAGGAGGGACCTAGGATTTGAAAATGAAGTGAAGTGGCTCTCTTGAATTAAGCCTTGAAGGGAGCTGGAGGTGAGTGTAGTAGTCTCCTTATTCTTCTTTTTCAATCCTTTTTTATGTGTACAAGGGTGCTGAAGGTAGTGACAGATCCAGAAATCTTGGTCCAATGGCTCATAGTATAAAGTTTCCAAATTTTTTTTTAAAGATGAGAATAATAATGACAGTACTTTCATTCATAATTCATGACGTTATAAGCTGCAATATCATAATTCATAATACTTCCATTCATAATCCATAAATAATTTCATTTCAATCATCATATCAATATCAATAATTCCATCCAAATGAACTCATGCAATGAACTCAACATCAGTAAGTAATCACCTAAAAGCATTCATCAATCTCCCTTAGAACAATTCAATTGAAGCGTCAACAACTTTGCTTATTTATTTATTTTTTTTTGTAACAGAGGGGGCTAACGCCCAAGAACACAAGCCAGCTAACTAGAAGTAGAGAAGACGAGGCATGGAGTCACCCCTTGAATCAGAAGCCAGGATGTCAACAATGCAAGCTGGCATCTCATCAAAGATATGCAGACCTGGATTAAAATCAAAACTAATAGCAGCCAAAGAATCAGCTGCACAGTTTTGTTCGCGAAGGATGTGTCTAACTAAGCAAAACCAATCAACACTTATTTTTAATTTGCAGCAACTGATGATACGGAACATGGGGTGGGTAGAAATAGTGAGAGAATTAAGAAGAGTCACTGCAACCTTGGAATCGCTTTCCACTTCCACAGTTCGAAACCCATAGTCCCAAGCTAGGGAGAGTCCCCAAAAAATACCCCACAATTTAGCCTCAAGGACAGAGCCAATACCCAAATTCACAGAATAGCCCTTAAGCCAAGCACTAGTTGCATCTCTTAACACACCAGCAACGCCAATTTGACCAATAGTGTTATTCCGACTACCATCAAAGTTAATCTTACATCCTCAGGACTGGGACGATTCCAAGACAGCTGCGTCAAAGTTTGATTTAGAGATTCCTGTAATTGGTTTGTTGGCTGAATACGACTCTTCAACATACTGGCAAATAATTTGTCTTGGTTCAACATGCATAGTAAAGTATTAGTCAAACACCCCTTTACATCTCCATTTCCAAATAAACCAAAGAGATAATGTAAAAATTAGGTGCCAAGTCAAAGTATGATTTACCTTCCTTTTACTCTTCAAGTTTCGCAGAATCCAATCATCAAAGTCAAGAGAGCCAAGGTCCCCAAAATCAACACCAATGTCATTCCAGGCAGCAATAGAAATAAGGCAGTCTTTGAACAGGTGCTCAATTGTTTCCATAGGAGCAACACATCTAGGACAGTTAGGGATTTGAGTGAGGCCTCTTCTCTATCTTTGCACATTAGTATGTAACTTCTTATGACAGAAAAGCTAGAGGAAGGTTTTAGTCTTGGGAGGGAGGTGCAGCTGCCAAATAAACTCCCAAGCCTACTTAAACTTGGGTTCATCAAGAAAGAACGTGCTGTAAGCAGTTTTTACAGAAAAGTCACCATTAGGAGTGAGCCGCCAAATACTTTTGTCTACTCCACTGCCAAGGAAACCAGCATGGATGCTAAGAATAATTTGGATAATACTATCAGGAAGACATTCCCTTAAGCAATTTAGATCCCAGTTTCCATTTTCTAAAAAGTCACTTACATTCAACTAGAGCATATCTTTAGTCAGCTCAATGAGAGCATGCTGCTGGAGAGGGCCACAACTAAGCCAGTTATCTGTCCAGAACCTCACGTTCTCCCCAAAACCCACTCTCCACTTGATGCCTTTAGAAAGAGTTGAAGTCCCATATAAGACTCCCCTCCAAGCACTTGAACAACAAGGGAATAGAGAAGCCTTAGCAGTTAAGATGTCATTCTGTTTTAAATATTTTGCTTTAAAGTCCTCAGCCCATAGCCCTTGCTCTTGTTGAAGGAGTCTCCAACCAGATTTAGCCAAAAGCGCTTGGAACTTTTCTTATTTCAATCCTCTCTAACAATATCAGAGTCTCAATACTAAAACTAGAAACTAAAGAAATTGTGAAAAGAATTAACCTCAAACTGAATGGACTCAAACGGTAGATTCGCTAGCCTAGAATGCTAGTGATTCAGAGTCAAAACCTTGAGATTCGAAGTCAGATAAAGTAGATTTGCCCCTCCCTTATAAATACTTTCTTACAAATCATTGTACTTGAAGTGAGACAAAGACTACTCACTGATGTGGTCATTCAATCAAATCAAATGTCTGACGAACATCATCTTTGTCAACAACACTCTACATGTGATGTGAGTCCAAAAAACTTAAATCTATTTCTTCTAAGATCTTTTCATCTTCGCATCATCAGTAAAATATTCTCCGATCTTTCATAGGTTCCATCAACCTCCTAATTCCTTCTGATTAATCGCCCTTCTCGATATCCATCAAGATTCAACATGAAATACTTGGTGGTAGTTTTGGCTGTTTTCCTTTCCCTAAGCACTGCTGGAAGGAGGATACAAATAGGATAAATAGCTGTGAGAAAAATTAGAGAATAGAGAAGAACTCACAACTTAAGCGACCAGAGAAACACAACCGCCTTGCTGGGATTCTGGTATACAGATGCTCAAGTCAATGGGTGAGAAAGAGGGGCGAGGCGGGGTCATATAAAAAAGAGAAAAAGCGAACATACTCGGGGCGCCTGTCTCACTCGGATCTAGAAATTTCCTTCGATCTAGCGAAATATAAATCAGGGCATACCTCGTCTCAAATGCAATTGGTTTAGGAACGGCCAACAATATTTGCTGGAAGTCATAATTTGCTTTGATCACCAAGCGCATCATGTGATCAATTGTGTCAGGCCTACAAACTGTAACGTAGCAGCACCTATCTTGTATCTGCCATAGGTAGATATATTGATATTAATGTAACATATGTAACTATATACTCTATGAATAAATAATGTGTGCTTACCTAGCTATGTGACTTGATGAATCGTGATCAAGATTGTAATGCAAGCTATGTGACTTGATGAATCGTGATCAAGATTGTAATGCTTAATTTGCAGTGTGTGTTGTATGTATAATCTATGTTTGGATAATTAATGTCTCAGTGCAAATCTCCCTTTTGTATCAGTTCAAAGTCACAATTTACTCACATGTTTTCTTTCTCATGCACGTTTTTTTTTCTTTTTCTGATTTGATTGCCATTAGCCACTTGCATCACATGCATAGAAACCAACCTAGGCAGATCTACTGTATAAGAAAATGGTATGATTTTACTACAATCACATTCTCTCGACCCAATCAAAGTGTTTCTAGGTCCCAACCTAAAACCTTCAAATGGGCCCACATAACATTGTGTACGTACGTGAAGCAATTACAGTGATCAATTATACATCCATATCAGAATCTGGGTATTCTACTTCATCTTCATTACGGAGACTGCCTTCTCTCAGGAAAGGAGCGGTTGCACCCTAAAACAAATGCAATTTGAGCTTGATTAGGTCGTGGATAAAATTCTTGCCGCACAAGTGATCACTAAAACAAGTATATACAGGCAAAGAAAGAAGCATGGGTTACTTGGAAGATCATGCCGAACATCTCCAACGCTTCAGCGCGGAACTTTAGAACATCCTCCGGCACAGTGGGTTCATTAAGTATCTGAAAAGGAAAACATTATGTATCAAATCATTTCTCTTCAAACATATGCTCGCGCCTTACGTGCGGAGTTCTTTAGGAGTCTGTCTCTAGGAAATAATGAGAACTCACTGCATGGGAGACATTTGACAAAGTTATCACAAGATCAAGCATAGCAGCATCCCATCGTATACCAAATGTTGGAGCTTCTAAATCTTGAATAATACGCGTTCGGAAGCGATCTTCAAAGTCTTCAGGCTCCATCATGTCTTGTTGTAGAACTACACGTTCAGCCTCTAAAAATTCAGACAAAGCATGAGTTTGGCAATACATTTAAAATAAATAAATAAAAAAGATATATACAACTCATTTTTCATTCGTATTATTATTTAAACCACATTTACTAGCAATTTTGCTCTATTAGAGAGGTGCTCAGTAGACGTAGTTCAAATAATTTTATTCTTAGTTTCAATCCAAATAATAGAACTCTTAATCACCAAGAGTGGCCCAGTGGTTTGTCCGCCATTTGCGTAAGACTCTAGGGTTCAGCTGGGTTTGCTCCCTAGTTCAAGTCCCAGCAATTGCAACACCTGGTGGCCAGCGGCAGGCTCAATCCAGCAAGTATGGATTAGTCGAGGTGTGCGCAAGCTGGCCCGGACACCTCATGGTACTTACCAAAAAAAAAGAAAAAGTAGAACTCTTTGATAGCAGAAAATGCACCTTTAGCTGATCCTATTTGTGGCCTCATCTCGTATGCTCTGGGACCTTTATTCTCCACCCATCCGTCTAAACCACCAAACGCACGCTTCTTCCCAAGTTCTTGTCTGGCCTTCGCCCAGTAAACATGGCCGATTGAATGTAGCATATACTCGCCACATGCTGAGAAAAAAAATACACAATTAATATACGTGCCAGTATAAATTGCAACAATCAAAACCAATTTGAAAGCATTGCCATATTTTCTGAAGAACGCAGGCCGTTTTGTGAGTTCAATACAAGAGAGTTTAAGTTTTGATTTTTTAGGTAATTGAGTATCAAAAGTTAAAAGGGGCTTTTTATATTACTTTTTTTTTGTCTCCCCAATACTAAAAGCCTTGAAGGCAAAACTAGTTTGGCAATACATTTGCAATTGGTCCAATCATTTCAAATTTTACTGAGAATTGGGATGTTACATAATCTTTTGCAAAGGTGCAACTATCAAGGGGCTGTATTGGGTTTTAGCCTGGTGTTGAGTTTCACTTTAGGCTTAAATTAATGTATTAAAAAAAATGCAGTACAATTAAATATTAGTCTACTACTTCATAGCTACACATAGCACTTTTTTTTTTTCTTCTTAGCCAACGGAAAGGGACAAGATCAGACAAACATAACTTGCAAAAAGACTAAAAAAATGAAAAGGTAAAGCATTAGAACATTAAAGTAACACAACTTACACTTTTTTTCCTACTCCATTATTGTTTGTCGTTGGTCAAACTCAAATACAACATTAATATATTAGAACATCATTAAATCAATGGTAACAAGCTCTGAATCTTCCCTAATCTGCATGCAACCTAAAGGTATTACCTTAGCTTTATTTCTCAAGTTCTTAATCTTTATTCATTGGTTGTTTGTTTGCTAATTAATTGGCTACAATTTTTAGTTCTACTAAATTTTTGTTTTGGGGGGTTTGGTTGTACTTATTTGTGTTAGTGTTTGAAAAAAGAATTTTTGAATTGAACTAGATTATAACCCTTGTTCACATTTAGTTATGCTGTTTTCGGGGCTTTAGCCCCGCTACCCAAAAAAAAATTCTAGATAATTTGAATAATTATCTATTATATTATAGAAGAAGCTACGAAAAAAATAAATTAGTCAGACTCTAAATAAATTCATGGTTCCGTCATTGATCTTTTGAATGTTTCATCAAATGAACTCTTTTTATGACATATTTACTAATTCGTAATCGGATGATGAGTTGGATTGTGCAAGAGTCCGTAGTCCAATCGAAGTTGTTTACTAATATCTGAAATTCGGGTAAGAATGATTCTAACAATATACAAGGTCAATCGGACAATACATATATCATATATTTTTTTTTTTTTTTTTTTTTATTGTATTGTAGGGAAAAAAAGAGTAAGAAACTAACCAACGGTTGAAAGGGTTCGTGCTTCTGAATCTACCCATTTTACAAACTCATCCTTACGACCATCAACAAATGGTTGGATGCGATCTTTCATAAACTTTATAAGTTTTTCTTCCTTCTTTCCTTCCGGAAAAAAAGAAAAAAATACACAGAAAAGGTAGGTGGAAAATGGATGTAATTTTTTAGAGGAAAGGAATTTATCAAGCATACTGAAAGTAAAAAGGCATACTCCCATCTTCTCTATTGCCTTCTCCTTGCGGACTTCGAGATCCAGGGTCTCTTCTTCCATTTCAAGAAGTGAATAGAAAGTATTCATAGCAAATTGACCAATATAATCTTCAAAAGGTTCACTCCCGAACATAATACAATATGTAGTATCAGTGTGTATCCAGTAGTCCCTGCCAAAACGACAATGTAATTTCAATGTAACAAAAACCGGTTTCATGTTTGACGTATTGTGTTCAGGAAAATGCTAGGGAGACCACATTTATAAGCACATTGTGCACCTCTTCTCTAATAGATGTGAGACCTATTGTAGGTCGGTTCCACTCTATTAGAGATGTGGAACACAATGTTGTCTCTCTATCATCACCCATTAGTTCATTACAAAAAAAGAATCAATTGAAAGCAAATATTTTGGAAGCTGCCTTTGCAACTGTCTTTCAAGCAACCTGAAAATGGTTATCAAACGGACCCAAAGGTGGTTAATTTTATTTCCAAGTTTGGACAAACATACTGTGATATGCATAGCTTTCCATGCTTCCCAAACCGTGCACGCGTGGTAGGATCACTTAGAACCTGGAAAGCTTCACCAAGTGCCTTCATGCAGACGATAACCAGGAAAAATGAGCATCATAAGATTATATGCTAAACCCTAGAAGCTACCAAACTTGACTCACATTCAAGTTGGCATCAAATTTAATTCTCTAAATCTCGGGTTTTTGTTTTGCACTTATGCATCAAAATATAATAGCTTACCCGAAATTCTTCGGCAGCCTTGGGATCTCCAGGATTTTTATCCGGGTGAACTTGTGTTGCCTAGAAAGAACACATCAAGCACAGTAGATAGAAGCTACAATAATATCCTTCAAAATGCCTTTTCTTGGTATTGAAATTCAACAAAAATTAATTCCAAGTTTTTTTTTCCAAACGTGAGAAGGAAATCTAAGAAAAATATATCATATTACATTTGCCTATACAATGTGTTCTACGATGTTCTTGAAAGCCTTTTGTCAGAATTGGGAAAATTGAGAGGTATGAATTTGATTACCTTGAGATAGTAAGCCTTTCTTATCTCAAAATAAGTGGCATCAACATTGACGCCCAATGTATCATAATACCCAGTCTCCCTCACCATGCCTATCAGATCACAAGATTCACAACCTTAGCACACAAGCAAAACACACTGAATCAATTAAATGGGACATTTTTTTCAGAAAAGAAGTATTCTGCCGAAAGGAAAAATTAATCTTACCAAATTAAAGATAACTTTGAATCTTGTAACTTATGTGTGCCACAGCTCAGGTAACGAAACACAGTAAATGGTAGAGAGAATGATGTGATGATGGATATATACTGTGTAAGAAAATTGGAAAATAAAACGTCTAACTGTCTAACAAACTATACCCAACCTTTTAGGTGCTCCATGATCCGTAATTCTCGATAGAATAGTATAGACATGGGAAGTTCATTTCCAAGAAGTTCAATCCGGGAACTAAACGGACCCTTACACTTATAGGAAGAAGAAAAATAAAACACAGAAGGTTATTCATTATTTTGTATGGTTTTAAACTTTTTGCTGAATAACCTACTGTGTGCCAAAAAAATTCAAGCAATGTTTTTCCTACTGATTCAAACCGAACAGAAAGTTTAGTAAAACGACCCAATCGGTTTGAGGCCCAAGGTATCAATTAACAGTGGAGATTTTGGCCTATCTAAAGTTCAGTACAGTTACGACCCGTTACGCAATCGGTTTGAGGCCCAATCGGTTAGACTTTTTGCTGAACTGAACCGAGTTGTGCCTAGACTTGGACACAAATACGACCCGTACGCAAATAGCCGCACTCGGACACTCCTCTTCGCCAACCCCGCCCGTAACATCATGTCCGAAAATTTCCCCGAACTCATCTCCATACCGGATTTCTATCCTTCATACCCGACTCATTAGGGACGAAAGCCTTGTGAAGAACGTAGCCCGTAATGCGTGGGGAAAATTGACATCCTTACATAAAACCATAGTGTATATATAATGAGATAAGACACTGCCTAATAGGGAGCTGCCATGCAGAAGTAGAGCTCCATCTCTCTTTTCTGTCAATTTGTCAAACAAATGGAGATCACCACCATGTCCCAAGCCATGCAGCTCCATGCCCAAATCCTCAAAGCAGGCAACCAGCAAAACCAAAACCTCTCAAAGCTCTTCACGTTCTCTGCTCTGTCTCCCTCTGGAGACCTCTCCTACGCCCGTCTCATTTTAGACTCATTCCCTGCCCCAAACTCTTACTACTACAACACCATGATCCGAGCCTACTCTCAAAGCTCCGACCCGATTCAAGCCCTCCGTCTCTTTCTACCCATGCTTGAAGACCCGACCCACCACACGCCCCGTCCCGACAAGTTCACATACCCTTTCCTCCTCAAGTCCTGTGCCCGTTTGAGACTGACCCATGAAGGAAAACAGCTTCATGGGTTGATAGTCAAGTCGGGTCTCGAGTGGGACCGGTATATCCAGCACTCATTGATACATATGTACTGTTTGGGTGGCGAGTCGGGTCTTGCTTATATGGTGTTCGACAGAATGCCTGACAGAGATGTGGTGTCATGGACCTCAATGATTGATGGGCTTGTTGAGGATGGTAGGCCCATCGAGGCAATAAGGTTGTTTGAGCAAATGGTGGATGATGTGGTGGAGGTGAATGATGCGACGGTCGTGTCGGTTTTGAGAGCTTGTGCAGAGACAGGGGCGTTAGGCGTTGGGAGGAGAGTGCATGGGGTTGTTGAAAGTAGAGGGATTGGTTTGAAGGCTAATGTTAGTAGTGCCCTTATTGATATGTACGCAAAATGCGGGTGTATAAAGAGTGCAAGGCAGGTTTTTGATGACGTTGTGGACAAAGATGTTTTTGCATGGACGGCTATGATATCCAGCCTTGCTAGCCATGGTCATTGTCAAGATGCTATTGACTTGTTCAGTAAGATGCAAGGTTTTGGTATTAAACCTGATGAGAGGACAATGACTGCAGTTTTATCGGCGTGTAGGAATGCAGGTCAGGTTGCAGAAGGTTATGCATATTTGAGAAGTATGCAAAATGAATATGGAGTTAGGCCTACAATTCAACACTATGGATGCATGGTAGACCTCCTTGCTCGAGCGGGTCATTTGAAAGAGGCTGAAGAGTTCATCAGAAAAATGCCCATTGAACCTGATGTGGTTATGTGTAGAAACTTGATATGGGCTTGCAAGGTCCACAAGGATACTGAGAGAGCAGAGCGTTTGATAATACATCTTAGGCAGCTAAAGATGGGTTCAAATGATAGCGGAAGTTATGTACTTATTGGCAATGTGTATGCATCAGCGGGAAAATGGCATGACAAGGCAAGGGTTAGAGAATTAATGAAGCAAAAAGGACTAGTAAAACCACCAGGGTTTAGTAGGATTGAGTTAGATGGAGAAATTCTTGAATTTGCCGTAGGAGATTCAGGTCACCCGGAAGCAGAAACAATATACAGAAAATTGGAAGAAATAGAAGATAATTTGAGGAAAGAAGGGTATGATCCAAAGCTTTCAGAGGTTTTGCTTGAAATTGATGATGAGGAGAAAGCTTTTCAATTGAGTCACCACAGTGAGAAGCTTGCTCTTGCCTTTGGTCTAATTAGAACAAGTCCGGGGTCTGAAATTCGGATTGTGAAGAACTTGCGATCTTGTGAGAACTGCCATGCAGTTATGAAACTAATTTCAAAGGTATACCGACGAGAGATAATAATGAGGGATCGAATACGATTCCACCATTTCAAGAATGGGGATTGCTCTTGCAGGGATTACTGGTGATATTCCAGTAGGAATACCATTTTGATTGGTAATTAATTCTTTGCATTTCCAAATTTTAAGTGACATGTATACCAACCGAGTAACCTCATGACCACCTGTTCCTCAATCATCATGAGAGAACTCAATGGAACTGAGAGGGCAAGAAACCTGATGGGAAGAAAATGAAAGCATATGGTTGGAAATTTGGGATGTACATGGTTTACTTACCTGTGTTCTCAACGAAATTGCATACAGGCTATAGCAGATGCCTAGAAAGGAAAGTCTCTGCTACTAACACAAGGCCACAGCTATAGCAGATGCCTAGAAAGGAATGTCTCCTTGCTACTAACAAAAGGCCACATTTCAGGTAAGATTTAGCTGTCACTGCTCTTCATTTACGTCTTCATACAATTTAATCCACCATTGGGTGCATTTTACTCCTATCCATGTAAAATTGTAGAAAGCATACGCATCAAACTACCAAACCAGAATATTTATGATGAAGGAAAGGTTAAGTATATTCACTTTGGTCAAAGATAAGTGTAAGCCCATGGCATATATTCCATTTGAAGAGCCAAAGGAAAAGCTCTGCTAATAGCATAAAAAAGCCCGGTTGAACTTTTCTAATTGTATTTATGACCTACAGAAACAAACTGTATTGTTTAAAATTCACTAGATAGTTGATTCGATGCAATCCGGTCTCTGAGCTTTAGCACTGACTACTGAGACTCTGGGACAAAACCCTAAAGTTGTTGTGGCAAGCCAAGGTTCGAACTGAGATATGACATTGAAATAGAGCCTCTAGTTTACTTACTATCAGCCACCCCATTAGGGTTTGAGTTTTCATCATCCCAGAAATGTTAAATTTGAACCATTTGACTATGGTTTTGGTTTGATTTATTTAGATTCTCTGTTTCTGAATTATACATCGATGGCTTTAACTGCCGGATGTGGTATTTGCATCAATCCTGAACACTAACAGAAATAAGTAACTCTTCCTTGTTTTCTCATGGCTTCCACTTCACATAACTTGCTTGGTGAATTCTAGGTTTCAGCAATGGTAAATCCTCTCAAACTAGTTTAGGACCCTTTTACACCCTTCTTTTTTTCATTTTCTAATGGATAAAATTTTGGGACGTCATCAGAGACTTGTAGAATATCAAGTACATTAAAAACCAATTATCTGACTGTTATACACACCCAGATAGATATCATATAGTGCAGAATCTCGCCACTTTCACGATTGTAGTTCCTGATTGAAGCATTTTTAGTATAAAATAAAAATATTCTGATTGAAGCATTTCTAAACTGCTAAAATATATATATAATTCTCTTATGCAAACGTCCAACCGTTATTATCGGTTCCTTTAAAATAAATAATATATAGAAGAAACTCTGCCTCTGCAAGTGCACAACCACCAAGTGATTAGATGCGCATGTCATTTTATTCCTTCCTTGCAACATCTTCTATCATATTTATATTCTTCTATATAAAGATTTGAAAGCAAAAAGTCTAAAGATATGGTACTTGAAAGCAAAATGAGTTCCAAAGATTGGATAATAAAGAGCGAGATGGATCATGAACACATATTATATTGGTAATCAGTTGTTAAGAATAACATCAATAGAATTAATAAATCTTTGACAAGCATCAAAGTCTTATATCACAGCCTATCTAACATGATCAACATAATTAATTTAAGCTTCCATTTTAAACAACACTAATCTCCCACTAAACAAAACCAAAGAATTGAGATGCCTTTTTCGCCCTTTTTCCCTGATCCATGTGAGCCATTGAAAGAGCATGGCTGCCCACTAGCTCTCACCATCCCTTCACTGATGCCTTTAAGTACACTTCTTTCCCAACATGCAATCAAATCCAAGCAGAAAGGGAGATTGGCAGGTGATTGCATCATCTTTGTTCCCTGTTTCAGAAGATGGGTCTATACAAGTACATTGCACTTTCTTTTATTTTGGACTGAAATAATACAAAATAACACCTAAATTCACCGACTTTTCATGTATCCCCTTATTTTCTTTTGGATTTTGATCCGGGTTCGATTTAATTAATTGGAAATAGATATTGTGGCATAATTCCGATAATCCGTTAACCCGTGAAGTTAACAAAATTTGAATTTGGTCTAATTCGATCCGATAATGAGCCGGTCCAATTTGATATAATATTTTTATTTATTTATTATTTACTATATATATATATGGACATATAATAATATTGTGAAATTTTTGTAAATAAATAAGAATATTTTTCAACTTTTTTATATATGACATAAAAGAATTCGGATCGGGTTATCGGATCCGACATTCGATAATCCAATAGATCATATATGTATTTTAATTATTTTATTTTTTAGGACTTTTCCTATTGAGAAGAACATAGTATACTAAACTCACACACACTACACGGATGTTAGGATTTGAACCCAAGACCTTGCCTAAGGGAGTAAATACTTCAAACCACTACATTAGTGGGTTTTTTAATCGGATATGGATTTAGTTGTGAATTATCCGTTGAATTATCGAATTGGATCGGGTTGAAATTCTTTTAAAATCAGATCACCCAATATTTGATCCATCTCCGGCTTATTTACAGGTCAACCTTCACCTATAAACTTGCTTGAATCCTCTTGAATTAACCAAAAAAAAAGGATAAATCGAACACATAACCTCAAGTAGAGAAGTAAATGCTCAAACCACTTGAGGTAAAGTTGTGTCCTATGTTTAAAATTATTCATTCACCACTGGTCCCATCAAGAATGAAATATAAGGAAGGGATGTCAAGAATATATATTGTGTTGCCTAAGAATATAAATTAATTTTCAACAAACAATACTCTTGAGCAATTATTAATTATAATTTTCGATTACTTTTCTAAGGATCCCGAGTCTCCACATTTAGCATCTACGCATTTATACGCATTTAAGAAGATCTTAACCATTTAATTAATCCAATGAATTTGATCAATCCATGTCACCATAAGTGTATTAGAAATAAAAAATTAAAAAATTAAAAAAAAATCCTCACCGCTTTGCACCATATCCTTTTAGTCTAATAGCAGATATATGCCTTTCCCCACAAATTTGACAATCTCCTCAATGAAGTATAGAGAGGCACGTCTTTGACTTCAAGTTGCAAAATTTTCACAAATCTAAAACTCAAATACGAATTGGCAGACCAAAAAGCATAACCAAAAGGAAGGATGAATTGAACACATAACCTCAAGTAGAGGAGTGAATGCTCAAACCATTTGGGCCTAGTTTGGTTCATATAACGAATTTAAAGGGAAATCATTTCCCATGTCATTTCCCAAGGGATGAGAAATAGAATATTCATTTCTCACGTTTGGTAATGCTAGGAAAGTAACTATGAGATATCACTTTATTTCCTTTCCCATGTTTGTTTTGAGTAGGAATGGAAAATAAAATTTGTATAAATTTTCAATTATACCCATATTAAATCAAATAAAAAAAAGAATGCATTTAGTAATTCTAAATTGTTAATGACGACAAAATGGTCAAGAAAAATGTTTATTTAATATTGGCTCTTTTTCCCAAACTTTCCCATGATGAGAGAAAACAAAACCTAAGTTGGGAGAATAGCTTCACTTTCCTCCCTACTTTCCCATGGGTCAGACAACGATTTCTCATGCCTGGACTTACCAAACATGGGAAAACAATTGATTTCTCATCTCCAAATCTCATTTCCCATGAACCAAACGGAGCCTCGAGGTAAAGTTGCGTCCTATGTTTAGAATTATTCATTCTCCACTGGTCCCATCAAGACTGAAATGTAAGGAAGGGATGTCAAGAATGTATATTGTTTTGTGGAAGAATCTAAATTAATTTTCAACAAACAATTCTCTCGAGCAATTCTTAATTATAATTTTCGATTACTTTTCTAGGAATCCCAAACTTTCTCATTTAGCATCTACACATTTACACGCATTTAAAAAGATCTTAACCATTTAATTAATCTAATGAATTTGATCAATTCATGTCACCATAATTGTAGTATCCTTTTAGTCTAATACCAGATCTGTGTCTTTCCCCACAAATCTGACAATCTCCTCAATGAAGTATAGAGAGGCACGTCTCTGACTTCAAGTTGCAAAACTTTCACAAATCTAAAACTCAAATATGAATTGGCAGACCAAAAGACATGACGTGCCAAATTTTCCGAAGAAAAAAGGAGAAAAATTGAATTGGCTTAATGGGTAATTCCTTAATTCTTTCTTCACTGCCCACTTAAATTAGAAAATTTATTGAATTTTTGGGACAATTGAACAACTTGGGTTTCTGGACTAACTCCTTAATTATTTCTTCACTGCCAATGAAATTAGAAAATGCGTTGAATTTTGTGGACAGTTTCTTCATCCATGCTTTGGGTTGATTCTTGGTCCTTCATGTTTATCATACTTCTTCTAAATCTTCTTAGGGCCAATAGGCATGAGAGAAAGGAGGGGACACTTTGGATAGGCAAGTGAAAACGATAAGGTGCAATGGGTGATTGTTTAGTCTAATACAAATATTATGACGTGGACGGATCGATTTTATTAAATTAATTAAAATTTTAAAATAATTTTAAATACATATAAATACGTGAATGCTAAATATAGAGATTCGAAATCCATTTTCTAGAACCTCCCGATATTATTCTCTCCAATTAATTGCCAGTACAGCCTTTATGTTTATTACCACAGCCATCTAATTTCCTGACTTCTATTTAAAGAAGATAGGAAGTTGCATGTATATGTCTATTTGACAATTACATCGATGGCTCCTTTGCGCCTACTTGCAAGTTTTTATATTCTTCAACCTAATTTTTAGGTCAGATATATTCTTCCACCTTATTGTAATAAAATAAAGAGAAAAGTGATTGTGATTGACACCTCAGGAAAATCTTCTTTTCAGAATAGACAAATTTGTTTGAGTTTTGTTTTAAAAACAATAGAAAAGTTGATATAGATCCAAATTCTTATTGAAGAGTTGGGTTTAATCCTCGGA